GGCGGCTGCACAGGTGTGTGAGCAGAGGCAAGAAAAACCCTGCCGGTTACAGAAAAGGAGCTAAAGCAGAGGACAGAAGAAGATACTCCAAAGGGCAAAGCCCATTCACCACCAGCACAGGTGGCCACGGCTGGGCTGAAGTCTTTTTCTCAAGAGACATCCCAAGATAGAAGGCTTGGGTGTTACTAGCTATAAGGGTGTTGTCCTGCCTAGAGGCAGGGAGCGGGCAGGGGATGACGCCCAGCCTTCATGCCCACCTTGATCAATCATGGATGGGGACGTCCCCCCAGGAGGAGGCTCTGTCTTCTACCCATCTTTCCCCCCATCTCTTTCCTCCTGGAATAGGTGAAGCAAACCCAGATGCCTGTGGGGCCAGCAGGGACCTCACTGGGAAGACGTGGGGAGGGGCTGAGGGGAGTGGGAAGCCACAGCTCAGGTGACTGTTACCATGTAGGAAGTTCCTTGCCCAACACCAACAGGTTTCCTAGCTCTTCCAATCCTTCAGGAAGACCGTCAAATCTGAATTTTACGGGATATCTCTCCATTTTCAAATGTTGGCAACTAATTCCTTTTTTTTTAACTACTGCGTGGGTCCAAAAACACATGTGCAGCCTGAATTTGGTGGGAGAGTCTCAAGATGTAGGACCCCTGACGCTCAGAATTGCAAGGGACCCTGCAGGTTGTCTTGTTCCAGCCCGGTCACTCAAGCTGTGGTAAAGATTTTTTTTTAAAATGTGGGTTAGAGAGTACTATACACTGTAAGGTCGCGGTCCGCCTGGAAAAGGCTGTTTTCCTAACAACCCTTCCTGTACTATTAGGGCTTTCACCATGTGGCTGAAATCTCACTGGGCCTTAGTCACCGGCCTTAGTTCTGCTTTCGGGCCCACAGAGCCAGAAGGCTCCCAGTTTTCCCCAAAAAAGATCTGGACATCTCCCCATGACCCAGCACAAAGTCACTTCCCCAAAGAACGACCCACGTTCCCGCCACTGTGCCCCGGGGCGGGGTCGCCTCACCCTGAACCATCTGGGCCGACTTCCACCCTCCGGTAAGTGAAGGAAGGTGAAGGCTGGGGTGCAGATCTGGGGTCTTGCAGGCAGCTGAGGTCACATGCCACTCGGACACAGAGGACTGACATCGACCAACAGGTGGCTCTAGGAGGTGACTTTTTTTGTACTGGCTTTGTATTTTTATATGTTTTTATTGATTTCAGAGAGGAAGGGAGAGGGAGAGAGGGGTAGAAACATCAGTGAGAAACATCTTTGTATTTTTATATGTTTTTATTGATTTCAGAGAGGAAGGGAGAGGGAGAGAGGGGTAGAAACATCAGTGATGAGAAACATCATTGATTGGCTGCCTCCTGCACGCCCCCTACTGGGGATCAAGCCCACAACCCGGGCATGTGCCCTGACCAGGAATCGAACCATGACCTCCTGACCCACACCGGCCGGGCTGGCTTTGTATTTTAAAAACAGGGGTCTCTACAGGCTTATTTGAAAGTTCTTCAAGATTTTTTTGCGGGGGGTGGGATAGAATATTCCTAAGTTGCAACCCCAAAACCTAGCATGGACTTTTCATCTTTCTTCTTCTTTAAAAAATCACTGATAATGTTATTTGTATTAAGTCCTTTGTATTAAGGACTCTGGGCCTGCTGTTTTTCTGACTCCCTCATTTGCCCCTGGGGGTCAGGCACCTTTGAATTCTCCTTTCAGTGGGAGCAAGTGAGGTTCAGAGAGGTTGTGTGATTCCCCTGAGGCCACACAGTGAACACCAGTAGCAAAATCAGGATCCAAACCCCGAACTCTGACTCCAGAGCCCACTTGCTCAAGCACAGTATTAGGCTACCATTTCCCATATCTTTACCGGCAATTCCATGAATGAACAAAATGAGCTTTTATCCTAGAGTAACACGAACAGTAATGAATGTGGGGGTGCAGTGAGACTAATCCTCCAGGTAAGGTCTGTGGGCACAGAGAGAAGCCAGGAAGCCCCTCCCTCCGAGAACACTGCCACCTGGTGGTGGCCACGAGGCAGGCAGCAGAGAGGTGATCAAGGCTGCAGAACAGGTGAGGGCATGCTCGAAGGTGGGGCGCCCCCCATCCCCACCCCACACTCACCTTGTTGAGGCTGCTGCGGTCGCTGACGCTCTTGGTCAGCTGCTGGATCTCGGCCACCTGGTCAGCGAGCCGCTTCTGCTCATTGAGCTTCTCGGCCAGCGTCTCCAGCTCCGTGAGGGCCAGCTGCAGCGAGAGCCTGTCCGGGTGGCCCCTGGGGGTGTTCTTCAGCATGTCCTGCCAGGGCCGAGAGAGCCAGGGCTGAGAACCCCACCCTAGCAGACCCCCCTGGCTGGGGTCAGAGCCTCAGCCTCCACACCCCTACGGAGACCCTGGAGACCCGTCTGAAAGGCTCAGCTTGCAGCCAGGACAGGTGGGACTTGGCATAGAGCATGGCTCAAGGAACAGCGAATGAATGAAAAAATAACAAGCATGTGGACCCATCCCTGATTCACCGATGCTGACAGCCACTCCCCAGCTGGCGGCTCTGAGGACAGAAAGGAGGACGCTGCTGGGCCCTGGGCTGGCAGCCTCCTTCCCAGCTGGGCCGAGGCTCACCCATGACAGAGATGCCCCAAGGTCTCGGGCCCTGGGCATGGGGTGGGGCAGGAACACGCGGGGAGGGGGCCTCTTGCTTCCTGTGAAGCCTGAAGTGGCCCAGGTCAGCACATTCCCTGAGCGTCCCCTCCCTGCCTAGAGCCCACAGGTCCTGGGTTCCACATGCCTTCATTCCCTTCCAGAATCCTGGGCTCACCCACCACCAGCCACTCGGCATTCCACATGGGGAGGTGGGAAATACGCTCCCAATCTGATCAGCTCCACTCCAGGAGTGAAGTAGGAGGGGCCAGGCGGGCGGGGGAGGGGGAGAGGCCCCGCCCACAGTCCACAGCAGATGCAGGGACTGCAGAGGACAGATGAGAGCCCCCACCCACCAGGCGCGCACCATGCAGGCAGGTGGCTGCAGAGCCCCGGTGGTACCTGAAGCAGGAGGATGAACTGCGGGAACCTCTGGATGGGCTTCACCATCAGCCCGTAGAGCGTGACGCGGTCGGGGCTACACACCTGCCGCCGCTGTTGAAGACGAGGTGGGGTCATTCGCTGACCCTCTGCAGCGAGGCCCCCGCGCCCCCGGCTGCAGACGCCGCCCGGGATGGGCTCCTCTCCCCGGGCCCAGGACTCTGCTCAGCCTCGGGCCTGAGAGAAGAGCCAGGGGGGGTCTCTGGTCCCTCGGCCAGGGCTCCCAGCCACCACGGGGTCCCCACACAGCCCCTCAGCCTGGAGAAGCTAGAGCGGTCATGTTAAGGTCTCTGGACTAACAGCATAATTGGGAAATTCAGCAATTTATTGCAGTGGTCGTACCTCTACAATAGCCAAGACAACCATTCCCTCCACTTAAACCAGCGGTTCTCAACCTGTGAGTCGCGACCCCTTTGGCAGTCGAACGACCCTTTCACAGGGGTCGCCTAAGACCATCCTGCATATCAGATATTTACATTACGATTCATAACAGTAGCAACATTACAGTTATGAAGTAGCAACGAAAATAATTTTATGGTTGGGTCACAACATGAGGAACTGTATTTAAAGGGCCAGAAGGTTGAGAACCACTGAAACGAAAGCAGCCGGGCCTGGCCAGGACGAGGGGAGGGCACGGGGGTCTTACTGTCCTCTCTCTTGCATCTGTTCCCACCACTCCATCTACACACCTGTCATCTAGATCCTGGCCCTCGTCCCTGGTAACCCAGGCTGCTGCCACAGCCTCTCCACTGGCCTCCACGTCCCCCTGCCCTGGCCCAAAGCTCCGCAGCAGCTCCCACTGCCTGAAACACACTGTCCCGCAGGTCCAGGGCCGCCCACACTGAACAGGACTGCCTCTGGGCCTCCCCAGCAGCAGTGCTCCCGGGATCCAACCAGACGCGCTCACCTGACGCCATCCTCCTGCCTCTGACCTTTGCCCCCACCCTGCACCTGTTACACTCTTCCATCTCCACCTGTTATAATCCCGTCGTACCCCCAGGACCCATGGCAGACGCCCTCTTGGACCAGGGCATTGGGTTCCTCAGCTGAGGCCCGGCTCCTGGCTCACCTGCACCCTCCACCGGGCACCATGCTCCCTGCAGGTAGGGCCTCGCTCTGACTCGCCTGACTGAGCACCCAAAGAAATCTGGGGGAGCCTGGCCACAGCTACATGAGGCCTTTGGTCCTTTTACCTCTAATCTCCCACATGAACCCCAAGACACCCCTTTGAGAAATTCTCCTCGCCCTTTTACAAATAAGGAAGGGATTGTGGTTCGATTCCTGGTCAGGGCACATGCCCAGGCTGTGGGCTCCGTCCCCAGTAGAGGGTATGCAGGGGGCACCCGATCAGTGAGTCTCTCTCATCATTGATGTTTCTATCCCTCTCTCCCTCTCCCTTCCTCTCTGAAATTAATAAAAATCTATTTTTTTAAATAAGAAAAAGGACAGCCCAGCGACACCCTGAGCTCTACCTGGAGGCACCCTGCCCAGCCCGCCAGAGGTACAGGCCCCGGCACTGCTGGGTCTCCCCACGGCAGACCCACCATCATCTCACCCATCCCCAAGAGGTCACAGGCCTCCTCTTCCGCCTGGCAAAGCCAGGATCCCAAGAGGCTAACTGTCACTCATCCTATCCCTCCTGCTGGGGGGCAGGAGGAACCCCTGTCTTCCCATGGGACTGTGGGAGCCCCAAAGGAAAGAGGTGTCCCTCCCCAAAGCAATGTGCTACCTGAAGCTGCGCCAAAGTCTCCCCTCCTGAGAAGCCCTCCCGCCCCACCGCCGCCAGCGCCCATTGAGGGAGCTGTGGACCACCGCCAGGCCCACCTTGAGGAACTCGAGGAAGGCGGGCTTGGTGAGACAGGCCTTCTTGATGATGGACATGGCGTTGGTGAAGTTGTTCACGTAGTCGCTGTACACGTCGAGCACCATGGACTTGGAGAACTGGAACGGGCATGGGAGTGGCACGGGAGGGTCACACCCCGCCCACCCTCACTGCCACCTCAACTGCTCTGACGACACCTGGAGGATCTCAGCTAGTCTGAGGTCAGGACACCTGTCACCCAGGGAGGGGAGGAGACCCGAGGTCGCAGGGAGGAGAGGCGGGGACAAGGACAGCCTGGTGCTCCTGCCCTAGCACGGCAGCCCTGCCCACTGGTGAAGGTGTGACACCCCCAGAAAATAAGATCCCCCCGGCCCTTCACCCCCCAGGGGCTGCTCCTGACTCCAAACTCCTGGGACACACTGGCCAGGTGTCGGATCTGCTGAGCACTCAGGTTTTAAACAATCCTTTCTCTTTTAGCAGAACCCAAATATCTAAGACGCAACAGAGTGGGGTTCCACCGACTTCACCCTCCTTAGCTCCTTGGGTCTCTCTGGGGCCCAGGGGTTTCTGGCACACCCCTCATTCCAGAGGGGACCTGGGTCTGAGAGGGCCCTAGAGCTGCCGGACATGGCCAAGCCGAGCGGAGGCCAGGCCAGGTCTCTGGAGTGTGATCCATGCTGAGGAGGCCCCGACGCCCTGGGACATCCTCCGGGGGCCAAGGCGTGGTCTGTTTAAGCATCACCAACAGTGGTCACCCGGGAGTGCCCGGCAGGGGACCTTCAGACCCCCGGTGGCTGCCCCCAGTGGCCGGGCCCCTGGAGGCCCCCAGCACCATGCCGGCAGCCATCTCCAAGGCCACACCAGGCACTGGAAGGTGCCATGCCGACCGGCAGGGGACCTTCAGACCCCCGGTGGCTGCCCCCAGCGGCCGGGCCCCTGGAGGCCCCCAGCACCACGCCGGCAGCCATCTCCAAGGCCACACTGGGCACTGGAAGGTGCCATGCCGACCCCGGCTTGGACCACAGGGCAGATTCAGGCCCCGCCACCCTGTGACCCCACTGACTCGGACGGGGGAGCAGGCAGAGGCAGGAGGCTGGCCCACATGACCACAGGGCCAGACAGGCTGTGGCTCTCCCTGGGTGGGTGGGCCAGGGAGAGAGTCTGGGGACACCTACCGAAGCCACGAAGAGGTCCCCGATCTTCTCGGAGGCGTCCCACTCGGCCACGCGGGAGGACAGGGCGATCTGGAACATGGAGTGGCAGTGCAGGATCTCCTTCACGCGGAAGAACACCACCTGGCACTTGCGGAGGCTCAGCGCCTTGGGCTCCATCTCCACCAGAGGGTTGCGGTAATCCTGTGGGGCGGGAGGGCAGGGTGAGCCGGCCAAGGCCAAGGAGAACTCGGCAGGCCAGGCTGGGCCTTCCTGTCGGGGAGCAGGTATCCCTCCCTCCTCCCCCCTCACCTGTCTTCTAGGAGGATCTCCATGAACGCCCTAACCTTTGTAATAGAAATTGACAGGATTAAAATCGGCTGGTATAAATATAGATGTAACAAGACAATAAACATCAGATCCTGATCAGTTCCTAACCAGAACTCCGACCAGAACTTTGGCAGGAGATCCTGGCTAGAGGTCCTGACTAGGCTGCTGATCAACTGAAGGCTGTCTCCATGTCATTCCTTCTTCGCCGACTCCGTCCACACCTTTGGGGACCCCTGGACCTGCTGGGGTTGGACCCCAGCACATCTCTACCTGCCTGAGGTCTGGGGACCGGGCTCCCCTGTGTGGCTCCCACCCCGACAACACCCTTCCCTGTTGGCCTCACTCCGAGAGCCCACAACACCCCAGCAGATTCACCGTTTCAGGAATGCAAACGACAGACCAGGTGGATACACCTGGACCGAGTCACATGACCATCTAGCAATCCCTGGGCATCTGATGGCGAGAGAGCCTGCCTCCTACTCCCCGACTTGGGGGCTCCAAGCCAATGGGAAGGCACAGCCCTATCCCAGGGGCTCCCAGAGAGGCGGGCGAGGAAGACACAGTCCCTTTCAAGCACGAAAAGGACCCCGTGCCCTGGACTCTCCCGAACAGCCCTCATTCCACAGAACCCCAACTTTATTTCAGAAAACGCAGGCCCCCCGTGAACACCAAGGCATCTGGAATTCTTAATGTCTCCCATTTGGAGGTCCGCTGTCCCCACAAAAGTTCTGGCCTTTGGCCCCCTCCCCTTACACTCCCTGCCAGGTGTCCCTGCGGGGCCCCCCCTCCCTCTCCCAGGGGCCCCAGCGTCGTACCTGGAGGACCCGTTTCAAAGACTCCACGTAGCTGCCTTCGCTCTGCACGATGGAGCCCAGGATGTGCCTCCGGACCACCTGCTCGGGCCGAGAACTCAGTCAGCGCCTGCACCAACCATGGCACAGAGCAGCACCTACTGTGCGCAGAACCCAGGTGACGGGAAAAGAAGCCCCAGTGCCCAGAGGAGCTGACAACTAAGGGACCCATCCCTCCCTGGAACCAATGGGCCTGGAGGCCCGGCAATTCCTTCCAGGGCCCCTGCCCCTCACCCCCAGAGAAACACCTGTGCTCCCCAGAGAAATACCCGTGCTCCCCAGTCTGCAGAATGGGGCGGGGGCCCTGGACGACCCCCAGGTGCCCAAGCTGTTCCCAGAGCAGAGTTCTCAACCGCATTGACATTTAAGACCAGGTGACTGTGTGGACCGTCCTGTGCACTGTAAGATGCTTAGCAGCATCCCTGGCCCTTACCCCCTAGATTCCAGTAGCATCTCCCAGTTGTGACAAGCAGACCTTGCCAAATGTCCCCTAGGGCACAAAATCACCTGGTCGAAAGCCACAGGCCTAGAGTAGCTGGTCTTCCCTGGCCCAGGAAATCACAGGCTCCGGGGCCGAGAGACCAGCCGACACCAGGAAGGGGAGCCCTGGGCTACGAGCTGAAGCCCGGGGTCTCGCCGGCTCCACCTGCTCGGACAGTGGCTCCCTGCACTGGGGCAGGGGAGCGGGGTCACCTTCCCAATGCGTTCAGGGGCCAGGGTAACAGAAATGAAGGAAGCAGGCGGATGGCCTCCCAAGACGAGAGGTGTGGTCCCATCTCCCTGATTTTAAGAGGCCAGACATCCGGGTTCTCTGCCACCCAAAAAGGTGACAGATCCCTTCACTGAGCTTGGGCCTGGAGGCCCGGCAATTCCTTCCAGGGCCCCTGCCCCCCACCCCCAGAGAAACACCTGTGCTCCCCAGAGAAACACCCGTACTCCCCAGTCTGCAGAATGGGGCGGGGGCCCTGGACAACCCCCAGGTGCCCAAGCTGTTCCCAGAGCAGAGTTCTTAACCGCATTGACATTTAAGGCCAGGTGACTGTGTGGACCGTCGTGTGCACTGTAAGATGCCTAGCAGCATCCCTGGCCCTTACCCCTAGATTGCAGTAGCATCTCCCAGTTGTGACAAGCAGACCTTGCCAAATGTCCCCTGGGGCACAAAATCACCTGGTCGAAAGCCACCGGCCTAGAGTAACTGGTCTTCCCTGGCCCAGGAAATCACAGGCTCCGGGGCCGAGAGACCAGCCGACACCAGGAAGGGGAGCCCTGGGCTACGAGCTGAAGCCCGGGGTCTCGCCGGCTCCACCTGCTCGGACAGTGGCTCCCTGCACTGGGGCAGGGGAGCGGGGTCACCTTCCCAATGCGTTCAGGGGCCAGGGTAACAGAAATGAAGGAAGCAGGCGGATGGCCTCCCAAGACGAGAGGTGTGGTCCCATCTCCCTGATTTTAAGAGGCCAGACATCCGGGTTCTCTGCCACCCAAAAAGGTGACAGATCCCTTCACTGAGCTTGGGGCCCCTAACACGTCTTGCCTGGTGTCCTCACAACCAGAGGGAAGCAGGTCTCTCACGCTGGTCCGTGGCTGGGAAAACCCAGATGGGGAGGGAATCGATCTGACCGCCCAGGTCCCCGAGCAAAGCCGCCCGGCTCGGCGTGACACTGGGAGAAGGAAGACACGGCCGAGGAGCCGGCTCGGAGGGGAAGCCGTGTGACTCTGAGACCCCAGCCTGATAACAGGTGGACGGAGGGTGGGACTGGGCACCTCGCTCAGTTCTCTCGGAGCCAGATTAGTTCAGTGCGTCTCAGCCCTTTTTAAATTTAGTCCCTTTCATCAAACAGCACCTTCATTTGAAACAGGTAAGTCGGAGCTGCTCTGGTTGCCGTGGGCGTGGGTAGCAAGGCTCCAGGTTGGGGGGGGGGGGGGGGACCCCACTGCCAGGGACCACAGCGTGGGACCCTCGGGGCCCAGTTTGGAAAGTCTGTGCAGCTGGTTGGGAAGAGAACCCAAAAGGCCCCAGCTGGGGTTCAGCCAAGAGCCCCCGACCATCACTTCCCCTTCAAGATGCAGACCTTGTGGCCCCAGGTAATAAGCTGGGACCCCAACATTCCTTCCCCTGAAGACTCCCACCCCCCGCTCCTCCCACAGACCTGCTGAGGGCTCAGGCCATCGGGCATGGGGCCCAGCTCCGGGGCTGGGGGCTTGATGTCCGTGACGCTGACCTCCAGGAGCCCCATGTCCTCGTCCTCCGAGTCACCTGGAAAGTCAGGCAGGTTGGTGACACAGCAAGGCCAGGACAACACGCCCTGCTCAGGCTCCAGGAGCCGGGAACCACCCTGGCCCGGGGTCCTGGGGGCTGAGTGGCGCCTGGGGCCACACAGGGTCAGAGCCCAGTGGCCACATCCTCGGCCACACTCCCCTGCAATAGCCTGTCCCTAAATAACCATGAGCAAGGGAGGAAACAGCAGCATCCACTCGCCAGAGTCCCTGTCCCTGCTCAGACCCGCCGGCTTCTGGCCTGGCGAGGCCCGGCCGCCTGGGAGCCCATCACCAGGCACTAAAAATAGTTTTCTTCTGGACACCTGAAAGGGAGAAGAAAGACCCCCAAAGAACGAGCTGTTTGGCTTTGTGTTTTCATCTTTCAAAAAAATATGCAAAGACGCCAAAGGGGAAAAGTTCAGCTGGCGTCCTCAGGGCACCGTGGGCATGGGTGGGCGTGGGTCCCAGATGGAGGGCCGGGGAGACAGGCTCAGGCAGAGAGAAGGGGAGGCTGGCGGAGGGCAAGGGTCTGGCCTTGGAGCCTGGCCCCTACGAGAGAGAAGTGGACACGGGAGACGGGACCCTGGCTGCTCAGGGCTCTGACGCCCCATGGCAGCGGCCGTGGGCAGCAGGAAGTGGGTGCCCCGGGGAAGCTGGGAAGAAAGAAGTGGCAGTGACTCCCGGGGCCAACGGAGCAGGGACACTCAGGTGGGCCCTTACCTGAGCAGGAGACGGAAGAGGAGGAGGAGGAGGGACAACGAACCACAGCGTGGGGGTGGGGGTGGTGAAGGCCCTCCTTCCCGGCCCACATGGCACCGGGGCGATCACTCCGCACCCACCCCAGCCTCCGGCCCTGCGGCTTCCTCTTCCCCCATGCAGCGCTGGGTAACATTCTTGGCCGGTGATTCGAGCTCTGCCACAGCTATTAATAACGCCTCTGGTGGGAGGGTCACTTTAGGAAAGGCTCTGGGCCGGGTGGGGAGGGCCTGGGGAGAGCCCGCTGGCCGCCTGGCTGGCCTGGGGGTGGGGAGAGTGACCAGGAACTGCTCCCAGCCAGCGCGCCTGTCCACCCTGCTCTTTCTCCGGGCCACTCCACTGCGTTCGGGCCTGTCGCCTTCCACACCGGGGGCCAGGGCACCCTCACAGGTTTAGTGCTGCATCCGCGCATGCACTGTTGGGATTAACTGTGCAGGGTCACATGGCCAGGAGGCAGCAGAGCTGGGATCTGAACCCAGGACAGAGAGATTCGGTCCTGGCACCAGACACCAGACACTCCACTTAGTGCCGCCAACCCCCCCACCCCCACCCCCCCACACACACACACTGACAATAACTCCTGCCACACAGGAACTGGGGGCTGAGCCAGGCTCTTTCCATGCATCCTTACCACAGCCCCTGAGACAGATGCCATCCTAGCCCATTGCCCGGATGAGCAAACTGAGGCACAGAGAGGGTGAAATAAAAGAGGGCGCAGAGCCTCCGGTCTCCCTGGCCTACACAGCTGACCTGGCCCCGCTCTCTCCCCCACCCTCACTCCAGCCAGAGGAAGGAGCCTCCTCCATCCCTCCTGTGCCTGTGTGTCCCCAGGCAAGTCACTGAAGCACGCTGCGCCGGCTCCCTCCTCTCTGAACGGGAACAGGACAGCCTCTGTAGCTGCCTGGTGTTTATTAGGATTCAGTGAGGAGCTGTAAAGCTCTTATGAGCGCCTGGCACGCAACGAATACTCGATAAACGTGAATTCTCACGAAAATCATTTCTGGGACATCGCCTACGTCCCCGCCTCCCGGCCTTTGCACGGGCTCCCTTCTGCGCCCGGAGCACCCGTTCCCCTCCCCTACCCCCTGCTGACCAACCTGGGTCTCCCTCTCCTGCTCTCAGCCCTTCCCTGACCTTCAATCCCACATTCCATGCCCGTTTTCCCCACCCCGCGCCATGGCACCCCACCATGCCGTCATTTCCTGTCTACAGGCCTGTCTCCCCCGCTGCACCAGGAGCTCCTGGAGGAAATGCTGTTCTATGCATCGTGGTGCCCCTGCACCCAGCCCGGGGCACGGCACTTAGCAGGTGTTCACTAAATGCTGGCTGGTGGGGAGATGGGTGGCTGATAAAGGAAGGAATAAACAGAACTCAAAGGCGAGGCCAGGTGAGCTAGACAGCACGGAAGGCCAAGGGCAAGAGCAAGGGCAGGGACGCTAAAGGGAGAGGCCCCACCTCCCCTGGAAGAGGAGGCCACGCCTCCAAGAGAAATAGGAAATAGGCTGGGACAGCGGCCTGACACTTGGGGTTCAGTCCCCAAGACCCACCGCCAGAGGAGCCCAGACACCAGTGACCTCGCCCACCAGTCCCTGCTGCCACAGGGCTGGGCACCAACCCTCCCCAGGCCGGCCCACGGGCCTCACCGAGGACGTCTTTCCTGTGCAGGAAGGACACTTTACGCAGGACGGCGATCCTCGTCTTCTCCAGCCCGTCCTTGGTCCCGCTCCTGGCGGCCTTCATGAACTGGGTCATCTGGGCAAAGGCAGAGGCTCATCAGAGAAGCGGAGGGAGGCCCTGGGCCGCCGGCCACCAAGGGCCACCAGCTCCTCCCAGGCCTCCAGGCCAGGACGACAAACATCAAGACCCCGGGGCCCGTGCCCTCCCAGGGAGGTGGCAGCAGAGGCCAAGAGGGACAGTGGGGCAGGGCACCCCGAGACCGCTTGAGACCTCCTGGGACAGGATGAGAAGGAGGAGCTCCCTAGGGGAACCCTCTTTATGGGCAAGGGGAGGTCCTAACTCGATTTTTCCCCTTTGGGACAAATTATACAGCACCTACTCCCATCAAATCGAGGGGAGGTGTCGCGTGGGGGAAGGCTCGAGGCCTGGGGTCCCAGCCTGGCTGCAAGTCCCAACTCCACCACACCCAGCAACGTGACTCTGGACGCGTCTTAACCTCAGTGAGCCTCAGGCTCTCGCTGAGACTCACCAGGGCGGTGAGGACCACGCGGACAGGTCTGGGGAAGCACGCTGGACAGAAAAGCAAGCTGCACAACATCAGGGATACTTAAGGGGCCACCCCAAGGAGGTGAGCACACACCTCCATCCCATCTGCGGAACCCCAGAGAGGAACCCCGTCCCGTGCCCCCAAAGAGCCAGGTTTCTTACTGAGCCACTGTCCAGGAAAGGGGAGAAGGCTGAAGTTGCCACAGAGCAGGGCGCAGCTTCCCCTCGGTGGGGAGGGCCTGGGACAACAGCGCAGCAAGCTAAGCAGAACGCGGGCACAGGAGGAGGCGTGCCCAGGAGGGGAAGCGGGCACCCTGGGCGCTGGGGGAGCCCTGGCCTGCAAACAGAGCTGCTGTCCCCTAACTCATTCTTTCATCCCCTCCGCACCCAGCCCAGCCCTGGCATCTTCCCGACACACAGCCGGCGCCACTGAGAGAAGCTTCTACAGGGATGGACAGGCCTCCTCTCTGTGCTGCCAGCATGCCAGCCACTAACCCCACGTAACTTTCGGACACTGGAAAAGTGGCCGATGTGACTGAGGACCCAAACTCCAGGTTATATTTCATTTTCATTCCTTTGAATTTAAATAACCCCATGGCTGTCATCATGGACAGTGCCTGCCTAGGAACACCCTATCCTTCCTGACCCTCTGCTGCAGCTGGGGAGCACTCATGGGGTGAGGGGGGGGCCTGGTCTCTGCTCTCAGGACCTCCTTCCTCCGAACACCCCCTGGGGCCCCAGCAGAAGGGGCGGGCGCTCCGGGGGGTCTGGGAGAGGAAGGCCTGCTGTAAACCAGTGGGGGCTGAGGCTGGGGGCAGGGTGGCGATTTTCAGGAACAAGGCCAACTTTCTAGAAACAACCAGCCGTGGGTGGGGAAGGGACGTCCCAGCCCCTCCTCGCCTCTACACGGACAATGTGAGGGTAGCAGGGCTTGGCCTTTTGGGCGGGGCGGGTCATAAACACCTGTGAGGACTAACAAGAGGGACAGCCGTCGACCCCAAACTGCACAAAGACACTCATCCTCCTCTGAGGGGGTCACCCCCGCCCCCCAGATGGGAAACCTGTCTGGAGCCCAGTTCCCGGCCTCGTAGACCGCCATCCGCAGGGCTGTCCTAGGAACTCCCCACGTGGTCTTTGAGGGAACCCCCTGCAGCCTCTCTGCTGGCATTTTCCTGGGCAGTAAAAGGGCAGGTGAGCACCCCAGAGGTGTCCCCGAGTCAGCCTGCCACCCCACCCACCCTCACGGTGCAGAGGCCGCGCCAGGAAAAACGCTGGTCTGGGCTTCTAGTCCTCCACGTGCTCCCTGGGGAGGCCTCGGGTTCGAGGGGGACAGTGCCACGGGCTGGAGAGCGCAGGCTCTGACCCGCACGAACCCAGGGTGAAGCCCAGCTCCACTGCTGCTGCTGGTGTGACCCTCGCCGTCCTCACTAACGCTCAGTGACAGCAGTGACCCACCTGCCTGCAGGGTGCCCTGGGGACAGAACAGTCGGGCGCACAGTCATATTGCCACCGTCCCATGAGCGCCCGGGTGTGCTGAGTGCAGCACTGAGCACCCAACACGCCTGAGCTCATCCTTACATCCGCCCGAGGGGCTGGTACTGCTAATGCCCCCATTTCTTAGGCAAGGAAACCGAGGTCAGAGAGGTCAAGAGACCTGCCCAGGATCACACAGAGAGAAAGTGGTGGGACGGGGATTCAAACCCAGGCCTTCGGGCCTTCAAAGCCCAAAGCACGTGGTAGTTGATCAATGAATGGAAGCTACTGCTGTCAGCAGCATCATTATCCAGCAGTCTGAGTCCCATCTGAGAAGCAGGTCCCCTGAATTTCTCTGCACAGGACGGGGAGGGATGTCTATGTAACCCAAACCCCCCACCATGGTTATTAAATATGCAGACTGCAGGGCCTTGGTCCAGACCTGCAGGCTCCGAGTCTTCAAGGGGGGAGCTCAGGAATCTGCATGTTTCAAAGCTCCCCGGGTGATTCCAAAGGCCCTAAGTTGGAAAACCCACCCAGGAACTCCTGTAGACCGGTGAGGCGTTGCTTGAGGGTGGGGGGGAAATGAGAGGTAAGAGCATGGGAAGAAACAGGCCTACTAAGGCGCTGACCAGCTCCTGCACAGGTGCGCCCTGTGGCCAGTTCCGGGTCTCGGGGGCAGCCCAGGGCTCGGCCCACCCTCTGCAGCCCAGGACTCGGGAGGGACAGACAAACAATACCTTACAATCGTACTTGTGCTTCAGCTCCTGCATGTCTCTCCCCCCAACTCTTAAAGCCAAGATGTCTCTCTTAGTCCTGGCGTATCTCTCCTTTAGCCTAGTCAGGTCTGGAGAAAGCTGGAGCCCCCAAGCGGCCAGGCAGAAGGAGAGCAGGTGAGAGGAGCAGGCAGGACAGGGCGGAGACAAAACAGGGACAACAGAGGAAAAAGGAGACTCAGGTAAGGTGGCGGATGGACAACGCAGAGCAGGCGGGATTTGGGGGCTGGGCTTGACCAGGGCCCAGCAGCAGTCTGGCCAGCCTCCTGCCTGGACTGACTCCAGCATCGCCCTACCCCCACGTGTCAGGCAGCCAGGGCCGGTCTCTGCAGCAGGGAACCCCGCTGCTGGGGAGGATAGGTGGCAGGGGGGTAGCCCAGGCAGCTCTCAGGGAAGGGGAGCAATGCTGGGAGGACAAGGACTGTGTCTTTGTCATCTCCCCATCCCGGGGGCCTGTGACATAAGAGGTTCTTGGCAACTTTGTGAGATGGATGGATGGATGGCAGGTAGATGGATGGGCGGAACAGGTGGGCAAGGGGATATGTGGATGAGTAGGAAGATGCACAGAAAGATGGGTGAGTGGATGGAGGGATGGTTGGACAGATGGATGCAAAACAGACAGGCAGATGGGTAGATGGACAGGCTCATGGAGAGATAGATGGATGGATGAATGGATGGAGAGATAAATGGATAGGTGAGCAAATGGATAAATTTAGTTAGGTGACTGTATGGCAGGGCAAAAGGATGGAGGGATGAATAGATGAATGGAAAAATAAAAGGATGAATGGACTGATAGATGATAGTGCTGTGCTGATAAACATTAACAACCAGTTCTCCGGGCAAAAGAGCTCTGCTTTGTAGCATTTCCATGGTGTAAATGCTCCCCCCTAGTCCATTTCAAGCTACCAACCTGAATCACTGAATGTAAACTTGGAAAGAGACACATACAATTGGTTCTTGGGTTCTTGTGAGCAAGGCCAAGCTGGCTCTAGCACACCACTGGGGGAAGGGGTGGATAAGTAGAGGGAGGAAGAGAGGGAAGGAGGGAGGGAAGGAGGGAAGGAGGGAGGGAGGGAGGGAGGGAGGGAGTACTGAATGGAAGGATGGATGGGTGACTGCTTACATACTCTCTTGGAAGATGGATGGATGGACAGATGGTCAGATAGACATCCAAAGCATGAAGTGTATAAGCAAGGGTGATATTTGGTCAAGTACACAGGAGACCAAGAGAGTGTCCTTTAGAGCAGCGGACACGCAGGGAGATCAAGTGTGAGCTCTGTAGGCACGAGCCTGCACTCACATCACCAGCCCCGCTTACTCACTGGAAAGTCTCCCCACCTGCCTTCCAGCTTCCCCACAGGCAAACTGGCCATGATAATAACCACTTCACAGAGTGGCTGAGGAGATCACATAGATGATATATTCAATATATCGAGAGCTTGGTGATTCCTCAAAAAATGGAAGAGATCATCACTCTCTTATTCGAATAAGTGCTCCCCATCTGTTGAATAGCTGGATGGATGGATGGATGGATGGACAGATGGATAGATGGATAGATGGATGGATGGATAGATGGATAGATGGATAGATGGATGGATGGATAGATGGATAGATGGATAGATGGATGGATGGATAGATGGATAGATGGATAGATGGATGGATGGATAGATGGATAGATGGATAGATGGATGGATGGATAGATGGATAGATGGATAGATGGATGGATGGATAGATGGATAGATGGATAGATGGATGGATGGATAGATGGATAGATGGATAGATGGATGGATGGATAGATGGATAGATGGATAGATGGATGGATGGATAGATGGATAGATGGATAGATGGATGGATGGATAGATGGATAGATGAATAGATGGATGGATGGATAGATGGATGGATGGTGGCATGGATGGTGGCATGGATAGATGGATAGATGGATGGTGGGAGGAAATATTTTCTTTCAAATTGTATGTGATGAGTGTGGCTCTACCACTTACTGGCTGTGTGACCCTGACCACATCATCTAACCTCTCTGAGCTTCGGTCACTTAGGTTCTCTGATGAACAAAATGAGATTCTTCATGCCCATAATACTAGGGTATTAGGAAAACTAAATGAAACTGCTTGGTAAGCTGCACCACACCAGGTAAAGGTTCCTGATTGTTATACAAAGAAGTAACCAGACAGGGATCCTTCTGTGAGTTACTCAGACTCCCCAGAAACTGGGGGGCCTGGTGTATGTACCGAGTTCTGTTCCATCTGCAAATAAGATTAACACAATAAAGCAGCGGTTCTCAACCTGTGGGTCGCGACCCCTTTGGTAAGACCATCCTGCATATCAGATACTTACATTACGATTCATAACAGTAGCAACATTACAGTTATGAAGTAGCAACGAAAATAATTTTATGGTTGGGGGTCACCACAACACGAGGAACTGTATTTAAAGGGCCAGAAGGTTGAGAACCACTGCAATAAAGCCATAAAGGCCACGTGGGCCACCTGATGCCTCGATTCTCTAAGGGTCAGAAGACCCAGGATCGAGAGTCTCCTGCGGAACTGGCCAGATCCGAGCAGGTCAGAGCTGGCTTTTCTGCCCCGTCCCCTGACCCACTGGATCACAGTGACCTCGGTATGAAGAGGTCACAATCAGAAAGTGGAAAAGTTCAAGCAGCCCTCTCCACAGCTGGAAAAAAATTAGTAACTGCCACTGGCCATGGGAGGCAGCCAGCAGGTACGATCAGCATAAGAGGACCAGGCTCCTGCTTACACCTGGGTCGGCAGCTTCCAAGGAGGCCCCTCCGCACACCCTTCGGTCACTTCCTTTGGCAAAAATCCACCCGTCGAGAGTGGCCTCTTGAGACATGAGAAGGAGGAAGTCCACTAGCTCTCTGGCAGCAGGGCAGGGTGCCAGGCCCCTCTGGTCTCCAAGGACAGGACACAGCACTTCCCCAAATCTCTGCTGCCCAGCGCCTCGCAGCCACACCACACGGCCAAGCAGTGGTGGCCCCGAAGCATGCAGCCACTGCAGCGCCAGGCTCAGGAGCAGGTGCGTCCGAGAAGCGCAGGAGGGCAGAGCACCGCAGGCAGGGGTCAGGGGTCCCTGGCAGAGGTGGGTGCTGAAGGAAGGACCCTCGTCAACCCCCTGTCCTGGGAGCCTACTGTTCAGGCAGCAGGAGGGCCTTGGCCCATGGCCAGAGAAAAGGTCCCCGGGGTTAGAAATTCCAGGAACATTGTCTGCTGAGGAAGAGCCCAAAGCCCCAGCCTCAGGGTATGAGGAACCTGAGCTCATGGCAGCAGCCAGAGACCCTGCCCATAAGGCCAGGCCCCAGGGAGGGCCAGCTCAGCACTCTGAGTGCTCCCTGGCCCCTGGCACCCCCTGGGGGCAGAGCGTTGGTTAAAAGGCAGCTTGCCCTGCCACACCCACACCCTGAGCAGGTGAAGCCCTGGCATCTGCGAATTCAACCAGCTACCACGTGATCCTGATGCCCATGCAGGTCTGAAGGCCACCACCAGAGAGCCCCAACTCAGCATCCCTATGTCTCTGTCCTCTGAGAGGTGCCTGCTGTACCCTTCCAGGCCCCAGCAAGAGGGCAAGGGCTGGGGACATGGCTATGGGGGATGAGGAGGGGCAGCCAGAGGCTGAGGACAAGGGCTGGCCTAGGCAACAAGTCTACTTGCTCCCACAACCCAGGGCCAGCTGAGATGTGCCCACCCTGCCCTCCTACAGAGAGGCTGCCCAGGGGCCGTGGTGGCTTCATAACGGAAGCCCCCTTTCTCTCTTAAGTGGTGCACGCTGCCCCTTCTGAGGACAGAAGCAGGAACGACCTGTTTCTGGCTTTTGCCAGACCACCCCTTTGGTCTAAGCCACCTCTCCATCTTCCCCAGCTGCTGCACCCCAGCTCCCAGCTCCTCTCTCTGAGCCCCCTCTGACCAACCCCAGCAGATCCCACCGTGTCAGGCAGGCACCATGGGTGCAAGGGCTCACGGTTACAGAACGGCATTTTGTCTTCATTCTTGACAAATTATCTCATATTTGGTATCTCCTCCTAGACCAGTGGTCGGCAAACCACGGCTCGTGAGCCACATGCAGCTCTTTGGCCCCTTGAGTGTGGCTCTTCCACAAAATACCACGTGCGGGCACGCACATACAGTGCAAAGTTGACTTAAAACTTTAAGTAAAGTTGATTAAGTTAATTTTAGGGAACGTCGTGGAGTGAAAGAAGATGTAGTGTCAAGGATTGAGGAAAGTATGTTGAGATGGTTTGGACATATAGAGAGGATGAACGAAAGGAGATAGACGAAACAAGTATACAAGACGAGTGTGGATGGGAGAGTTGGAAGGGGTCGACCTCAGCGAACGTACCTCAATCAGATTGAGGACGTTTTTAGCAAAGGCCAGCTTAGGAGTACCCTAATTAAGTTAATAACAATGTACCTACCTATGTAGTTTAAGTTTAAAAAATTTGGCTCTCAAACGAAATTTCAATCGTTGTACTGTTGACATTTGGCTCTGTTGACTAATGAGTTTGCCGACCACTGAACTAGACCACAAAGGTTCCCAGAGCCTGGGTGGGTCTTCCTGGTCCTGTGTACCCCAGCCCACACCCTAAGATGTGTCCTAAGCACACAGTAGGTGTCACAGATGCCTAACTGTTTTGCTAGCAGCATGTCAAGGACACTTTCCACGGCCCAGCCCACGGAGGCCCAGCCACAAAACCAGGCGAGACCTGCTCACTCCCAGGCTTCCTGAGGACTTGGGGGAGCCTTCTTTTCTGCGGGGATCCCCACACTTAGAAAGGGGCAGAAGGCACTAGGAAAGACTTGGAGGCCCCCACAATCCCAGCCCAGGTCTGGGACCCCCTGCCTTGTCCCTGCCCGCCTCCAGGCTGAGCTCGCCTGCCTGTTGGTGTCTTTTCCGAAGGAGCCTGAGAGGGACCCAGTCACCTCCGGTCAGTGAGTAAGAAGCTGCTCCCACTAAATCCCAAATCTCAGCATGGCCTGAGCCTGCCTTCTGGGGGCATCTGTAGAAGGAATGGGAGCAGAGAGACTGTCGCAGGAGAGGAGGAGCAGGCAGGCCACCCTCCTCTCGGCCTCTGGCTCCCTCCCGAGAGCAGCAGGATGCACCTCATTCCAGTAGAACACCAGAAGGAACCAATGCATGGGTGGCGCTTGGAAAGGCCGAGGGAAGGAGCCGCCCAGGCAGCTCTGTCTTGGCCACAGCAGCCCCCGCTGGCTCCCCTCGCCAGGCAGAGGACTGGGTGGGTCTCTGATTGGTCCGAGGACACAGACCAGTGTCGGGCAGGAAGAGCACAATGATTTGCTCCAAGTGCCCACTCTGATCTGCTGGCCGGGCTGCCTGGAGCACAGTGCTGGGGATTCTGAAGCCAGATCTGAGCCCAGGAGCATCATGGTCCATGCCAGGATCTGCCACGGACACGGGGTGGGAGAGCACCTGTGCAGGGATGAGCCATGCCCACCCCAGGGTCAGGGCTCTGCACAACCAAACAGCAAGGCCCGTAGGTCAGCTTCTGTTTCAGGGCCCCTGGGCCACTTCCTCCCTCACACATTCCTGGGAATCACTGCTCAGCTATGAGTCTCAGGCCTGGCTCTCGCCACCTGCATCGTCCCCTCCCCGAGGGGGTCCCAGTGCCCTGGCCGGGGTGAGAGACGCCCCCTCCGGCTCACCTTGGGCTGGAAGGACACTCGGTGCCTGGCGGGCTCCGCCTCCGGCTTGGCCTCCTCTCCGGAGTCCTCGCTGTAGCTCTCAAACTCGCTGGAGCTCCAGCCTAGGTCCTCGGCCTCCCTGGGCGCCCCGTCCTGGCGCACATCCTCGTACAGCAGGCTCCTCTCCGCCCCTGCTGGCCAAGGGACAGGCAGGTGAGTGGAGGCCCCAAGGCCAAGTTCACCAGAACCCCATTTCTGAACCCAGATGCGTAGGTGGGGGTGGGTATGGGTGCATGTCGATGGGCCCTGGAGCTCCACCTCCACTTCCTTGTCTATACAGCAGAGGTGATGACAACACAACAGCCACCCGGTAAAGTGAGGCGGACACGAGAAGGTGTAAAAAAGCTCAAGAAACGTGTCAGGCATCCGACAGGCTCACTGATTGCCTGTCGTTGTCAGCATTACTTTTCTGGGGTCTGGGTGCTCATCCTGGGCCTCCTAGGCATTTTTTAATAGAAAAGAGAAGACGGCCCTAGCCGATTTGGCTCAGTGGATAAAGCGTCGGCCTGAGGACTGAAGGGTCCCGGTTCGATTCCAGTCAAGGGCTTGTACCTAGGTTGCAAGCTCCTCCCCAGCCCAGGCCCTGGTCGGGGCTCATGCAGGAGGCAACCAATTGATGTGTTTCTCTCTGTCTTTCCCTCTCTCTTCCACTCTCCCTAAAATTCAATGGGAAAATATCCTCGGGTGAGGATTAAAAAAGGAAAGAAAGAAAAAGAAAAGAGAAGATGGAGGAGCAAGCCCTGACTCGGGCCCTCAGCTCTGGCCTCAGCATCCTGGGAGCACACGGAGATGGGCCAGCGTTCCATGAGCCAGGATCCTCCAGGCCAAGCCTCTTTCCCACAGCGGTCCAGCATGGGCCAGTAGGGGGCGCACCTGCTCCAATGTCCAGGAGCAGTCCCTTTTCTCCAAGGCCCCACAGGAAATGCCTTGAACCGAAAGCCTGGGGACAAAGACCTGAGAGTTCACTAGCCTGGAGAGACAGGTGCCACCAGGGCCTGGGCTCTCTTGGGGTCTCTGTCAAGTGGGTGTGAGATGCGCTCCCAGGCTGTCCTGGGACTGGAACACGGGTCCCCGCACAGCCCCAGCTCCGCCACTGGGAGATCTTCGGCTTCACTCCCTCCCGGTCAGTTACCTGCAGACCTGAACTGCAAACCTCGCAAAAGTGAGGCCAGGCTCCTAAAATGCCTGCAGATCATAAGGCTGCTGTCAACACGGAGAAAATGAGGCGTTGGGAAGGGGTTTTAAATCTGCTCAGAAAGCACATGTGCTGGGAAGGGGGAGCTCGAGTCTTCGGAGACCTCCCTGCAAAATGGGATGGTGATCAGCGGGAGGCGGAGTGAATAAAACGTGTATGTAAAGCTCTAGCGGAGAGCAGCGGATCCTTCCCGGTGGGGGCTCTAGGTGGGCTCGGTGTCATCACACTGACCTCGAGCCGCACCTGCACCCCTCGGGAAAGTGGGGGGCGGGAACCTGGAAGATTGGCAGCCAAAGAACAAAATGGGCGCACTGAGGCTTAGCTGGAAACTCGGGCCCCAGGATCAGGAGGGAGCATGAGGTTATTTTTAAGCAAAAGATAATAGTGACTAATGTTTCCAGGGAGTGGAGCAGCTGGTGACTAGGCGGTGACCTTTACGGTGACCTTTACGAGGCTGGGTTGATTGTCCTATTACTGCAGTGCGGGCCCCACCAATGCTTGGGGCTGCCCCTGAGGAAGAACCAGGGTGGCATGCCAGATGTCTCCCTCCCCACCTTCCAAGGGCCACCAGCTCCCCGCCCTGCCCACATCTACGTGTCCGTCTCAGTGGATTTTCCCAGAAGCCCTGCAGGTCAGCAGGTGGCAAGTCATCACCCCTCCATTAGACAGATGACTTACCAAGGTCAGGCAAGGGAGGGGCTGCAGACTCCCAGGCCGGACTCCATCCATTCACCCCTTTTCATGGAAGCCCCACCATGCTGGGCTCATCTAGAAGTGCTCCCCCAGTGGACACCGTGCCACCAGATTCCTGGGCCTGTGCCAAACCCTCAGCCTCAGGGGCCTCACAGCAGTTCTGGTCCTGGTCCCCGCCCTCTGCTTCCTGGGGCCTCAGACTTCACTGGTGCTCAAGATCACAGCCCCTTTCCACAGCATTCACCACCCCCCGCTCGATGCTCCATGTCATTCTCTACCGGCATCCTCACCACAGCCCAGCATCTAGCTTTATTGCCCCAACTTTACAGATGCATCGACTGAGGCCCAGAGAGATGCAGAAGTCCTCTGGTGTGAGCCTCCCCAAAGTCCTGCGAGGTCAGGATGACATTCTGATTTTGTATGAAGAAACATATAAATAAAATGTGTCTGGCCCAAAGGCACAGACCCCTGTGCCCTAATCAATGGCAGAGCCGAGACTGGAACCCAGGGCTGAGTGTCCACTAGCGTGGGTGGCCTGCGCCTCGGCTGATAACCTCCTCTCCCAGGGCCCGCTGAGCCCACATGAGTCCACACCGGTCTAATACTAACACAGCAGCATCTCTGAGCAGCAGACCTACCGAAGCGGCCACAGCCCTGTCTCACTCAGTCCTCCCAAGCCCTGCAGGTGGAGACCTGGGGGTGGGGGCGCTGAGTGTCCACTAGCGTGGGTGGCCTGCGCCTCGGCCGATAACCTCCTCTCCCAGGGCCCGCTGAGGGTGGGGGGTCCTCACTCTGCAGGCTCAGAGCTGGGATTCAAAGGCAGATTGTCTGACACATACTCTTAACCACCTCGGGGAAAACTAGGGACAAGCCATTTCCCCTGCCCTGGGGACACCATAGGGGGGGGGGGGGGGGGGGGGGGGTGGTAGTGACTAGGGACCAAGTAATTCATTGCTTGATTAGATTCAGGTGGGAAAACAGCCCAAAGAGGTTAAACAAGGGCCTTAGTCCTCTCAGATCTCCTGGGTTGGGACCTTCCTACAAGACCCCACTGCCTCCCTACCAATCGGGCCCGTCCCCACCTCTCCTGGATCCAAATGAGCTGCAAGCAGGGGAGGTAAGCACCTCCTGGGCTTGCAAAGGATGCCTGTTGTTGGCCCATTTGTCCCTGTGGCTGGAACAGGAGTCAGGAGGGTGGCTCTGGGGGCCCTCAGGTCTTGTCATGTCTGTGTGTCTCTCCCTTTGGACTATGCATAGCCCAAAGATGGTGAAGGCCACCCCTATCAGAATAGGAGCTCCTCAAAAGCAGGGGCTGTGTTTCCCTGACATGGGGAGCCCCTGAAAGCAGGCAGAATGGGGTAGTGGAAAAATCAAGAGTCAGCCCCGCCGGAGAGGCTCAGTGGTTGAGAGTCGACCTATAACCTGGAGGTCACGGTTCGATTCCTGGTCAGGGCACATGCCCGAGTTGCGGGCTGGATCCCCAGTGGGGGATGTGCAGGAGGCAGCCAATCAATGATTCTCTGTCATCATTAATGTCTCTATCTCTCTTTCCATCTCCCTTCCTCTCTGAAGTCAATAAAAATATTTTTTTTAAAAAAAGAAAAAAAAAGTAAAAGCAAGGCCCTGGCTGGGTAGCTCAGTTGGTTAGAGC